ATTCACTTCTGGCTTCTTTTGACAAGCCAACAGGAGATTCAGTGCCATCCCAATTGTAAGAGTGTCTTCCCATTATTTTCAGGAGAAGACATGAGAGCAACGGCCCGTTTACTCCAAACCTAATTTTGTCATGCCGTGTGGCATCCAACGTCCTAAAGAGGATCGTAGCTGCCCACCGGCCAAGTCGACATGTACGGACACTCTTACAACTTAGCACGCTGGACAGCGCCATTATTTCTTCGCACTAGTTGTCCTTCAAGAGGGAAGCGTAGTTGTCACCTCCAAGTGCGAAAGAGCCCCGAATTGCTTATACAGGTGCAAGTTTGTTGATTCAGAATGTCGGATAAAACTGTGGATTGGCGCCCGTAAAGACCCTTAAGGCCAAGATCTTCAAGTATGTGTCAATCTCAAGAAGTATGCTAGCTTCAAAGCACGGCTTTCAAAGTCGGGGTGACAAATGCTATGCAGGATACCGTAAACACGCTTTGGCCCAGAAGTTCTCAAGTACTCCCGATTGCAGGGTTTCGGGTCAGACTCGCGGCCAAGATCAGATGAATTTGGCCCTTCAGGTGCAAAGGCGGCTCCTTCCTTCACTCCCACGACGCGGGGACCTACCACAGCGCCCACCGCAGCGCCGGCCGCGGCGCCATCGCCGGCTGCGGCGCCGTCGCCGGCGGTGGCACCGACGGCGCCGCCGCCGGCAGCGTCGCCGGCGGCAGCACAGGAGGAGCCGCTGAGTCCGTGCATCCTGGTGAAGAGCTTACCCGCCAGCTGGGCAGAGCAGCAGGTCGGGGGGGGGGGGTTGGGAATGCAAAGGACAGCGGAGGAATGTAATGGCTCGCCTGGTTTTTTCAGATCCTTGTTTGGTTTCAAGGACTGTGGAAAACTGACAGAGCAAAGATAGCCTGAATATCCAAGGTGAAGCTGGTCTTTGCTGTCTTTGGTGGTGTTTCGCGCTTGCAGATGTTCGAGGATGAGGGGCGGCACGCCCGCGTTCAACTGAAGATTGCTGCGAACATGGCCAAGGCAGTGGAGAACCTGAACGGCACTCAAGTAGGCGACGGAGAGCTCATGGAGGAGTGTTGCCTGAGTTGCGAGCTGCAGGGAGTGGAGGTGCCTTTGAAGGTCTTCTATGTGGACGAGATGTTGGATGAAGATCTGGAGCCAAGCCCAGAGCAGTCCGAAGTCTTCATGAAGAACCTGCCACTCACAGAGTGCACCAAGGAGGACATACGTGAATGGCTCAGCGGCTTTGGTACCGTACAGGACTTGAGATTGCTGGAGGACAACAATGGATATGTGCGGTTTTCCAAGCATGAGGAGGCAGAGAAGTGCATCGAGGCCAATTCCACGACAGATGCTGAAGAGAGTGACGTGTCTGCCAAGTGGTCCAAAAGCGAACGGCTCCTGAAGGAGGGGGACTTGAAAGGTGTGGGCGCTGTTTTGGATGAGCTGAAGAGCAGTCTGAAATGCAAGCTTTGGCTTGTTTCAGAGCACCTGTGCCTTGGAGATCCTCCCAACCCAGAGAAGGATGCTGGCAAGCAGCTGCACATCGTTTGCGACAAGGAGGAGGCCGCGGCACAAATCACGGAGCGCCTGAGGCCGGTTTTCGTCAAGATCTTGGCTCCCCAAAAGCCCAAGGCGGAGGCGAAAGCATCGAAAGCGCCCGAGGCCAAGGCGACGACATCGACATCGACCCAAGCGGCGGCCAAAGACGACGGCCCAGCGGCGCCACCAGGCACCTGGGAGCCCCAAAACGGCTTCCGGAGCCACGGGGCGACAGGGTCCGCCTGGGGCTTGCCCGTTGCGCCCCAAAACCGAAGTCCGAATGCGGCCAAGAGGATGGAGGCAGAGGCGCTAGTGGAACAAGCCTATGAGCTTTGGGGCCAGAAGGACTACAAGCAGGCGCTTTCACAACTTACCAAAGGACTGCAGCTTCTCACCACTATTGTGGCAACCAGCGATGAGGAGAAGCACGTCTTGCAGAAGCGCATGGAGAAGCTCCTTGACGAAGCGGAGAAACTGAAAGGGCTTTGCTCCCGCGCACCAGAGAGCAAGGAGACGCCGCAGAATGTCAACAACACACAAGCGGACCACAAGGACAGATCGTTACGCGCTGCAGTGGACGAGAACAAGGAGAAGTCCTCCAGGAACAAAGCCACGGAAGAGCGGGGCGAGAGATCTGCCCTTGAGCGCCGGAAACCACCAGAAGAAACGCTTTCATTTGGCATGGCAAAGGAGCATGAAGAGAAGGTGGCAGAAGGGAAAAAGCTCCTGGCAGCCGCAGAGGACATGGAGGCGAGGGACAGAGGCAAGGCGTTTGACCTCTATATTGAGGGGGTCCAACACATTTTGGCGGTGGTCGGCATGAAGCAGTATGAGAAGCACCCGGACATCACGGCGTTGCGGCTGAAGGCCGAGACTGCAATTGGCCGGGCCGAGAAGATCAAGCCCCCGACTTCCCGCACCTCGCCCTCTCCGAAGCGCCGCTCCCCAAAGCGGAAGGAGGTGCGCCCGGACCGGGACCGCGAGCGGCGCCGCCGCACCCAGGAGGTGAGCGCCCCCCGGCGCAAGCGCAGCCGCGAGCGCAGCCGCGAGCGCAGCCGCGAGCGGAGCCGGCCGCACGGCGGCGGGGACCGCGAGCGCCGCAGGAGCACGAGCCTAAGCCGGAGGAAGTCCCCCAGGGCCGAGGCGACGCGGCCAAAGGGCATGGCGAAGCCCCCGAGTGAGCAGTTCGGCGCAGCCTTGCTGGTGCCAAAGTCTAGGGCAAGACGCCCTGCCTGAGACACCAGGTCTTAGCACGAATTGTCTTAGTGATCACAGCGAAGAAATGGCTGTGCAACGCTTTCGAATCTTTGCGTGGCCTCTCCGAGAGCGTAATGGATACACCTTGTTGTCAAGCGGGTCAAGAACTCAGTGAGGGCCCTCTTTTGGTTGCATTTGAATTTCAGGGTGAGCCCAATGGGTGTATCTTTTTGAGGGTGCCCCCGTTTTGGCGGGAAACCAAAAGAACGACCCCGCATTTTGTAGTTTTCCCAACATGAAAAATTTGGCAGTCCGGGTCCTACCAGGAGCGAACGAGGAAGGGCCAGGGCTCTGGCTTTTGCGTGGACGGCAAGGCCGGCTTCGCCCGGAGTCCCAGGTTTTGGTCTCGAAGTGAGTTCCAAGCGGCAAGTTGTGAAGGAATGAATTGGAATTATAGTTAAGCTTGTAGCTGGATGAGATCGGAACTTTGACTTGTCGGATGACACGAACCAGATCTCCGGGTGCTTTGGAGGCAAGCCAAACAACAACCACCCTACAATCAAACAAGGTACCATCAAATAAAGACAGTCCTGTTGTTTTCTTCGGCCGTGTTTTTTCCCGTATCACCAAGATGAGCCGATCCTTGGCAGTTGTGAGGAACGCTTCATGGTGCTTGTTTCTGTGACTGTACTCCTGAAGCACACATGAACCAAAGATTGCGACTGCCAATGTTTCCCAGAGATAGCTATTCGGCGGGCGTAGGGCTTCTTTTTGGATTATGACAATGCGACGGGGATGGCTGGCAGCTAGACCCAGGCCAACCCCCGTTTGGGCTACGAGCCAGATAACCAAATTGTAGCTCCTTCGCTCACATCCATTTGTGGCTGAGTTCAATTTACCCAGGTTCTTTATTATTTTTGATTTTTGTTGAGGCTTGGAATCATTCAAGCGTGATTGATATCTCAATTTGAACGCCGAATCTGTGCCTGGACAGGCTTGGGGCCATACACAAGCCTGTGATGGTGGATCATTGGGGTGTGTCATTTTTTAAGGGTACCCTTTCTTGGTTGGTTTAAAAGCAAACCAAGAGCGCCACCATGTTTGGGGTCGCCCTATTTTTTACAAACCCATTTCCAAGACGGTTGCTTGCGCATTGCAGCCTCACAGGCATGACTGCAATCGTGGAACAGACCGAAAAACCTTCAAAGCATCACCAGTCACGGATATATAGAAGCAGAAGTTCGATGCTTACCCAGGCATGTTGAACAGCTTCTTTCCCAGATCTTTGGACCCAAACTCCAAGGAGCCACAACAGTAGCTACAGCAGCCCAGTGTTAGCCAAGGGCTATGCAAGGCTACTTCTCATGGCTTCCCCTTGGGACGTTTCCAAAGTCTGCCTTCATGGAACCGGCAAGGGCTGTGTCCAACGTGTCATTTTTGCAGCAGATCGATTGACTCGCCAGATTCTGACCAATGCCCACGTAGTTCAAGGAGCCGACAGGAGGGGTTGGGCAAGGAGTTGGTAGACGAATTCCGGGTGGATGCCTGCGTCTTTCAAACGTGACAGTCTGATGGCTTCAGGGAGGGTTAGTAGTGGAGCATTTCACATCCTGTGAGGATGTGCTCTTGAACATAAACTTGCACACGCGGAAGGATATTGCAGGCCAAGTTGAGACATGGCAGAGAGATAGACAGGAGTGGAGACTAATACTTGCAAAAACATATTTAGGCCGCAGGTGTTACATCAGCTTGTGAGACATCTTAAAGCTGGCCTGACTTGAAACTCGAACAGATGTCAAGTGAGCTTCTCAGTTGGGTCCAAAAGAATCCCCGCGCCTTTTCGTTATATAAGAGCCCGTCCCGTAATCTTCCTTGTAGGCCCGGAATACTATAAACCGATGAGGAAAAGCAAGCGATACCCATAGCCATGAAGACACAGGTTCACATTGTCGCAAACCGATCAGCCATGATTGCAGAGATCATAAGGGGTCGCCGATACCCAAACAGCCAACTTATTGGCCGCATATTGGTCGTGCCGACCCCACCTGCCCTGGAGCTGCCAAAATGTACTTGCTGTACTACTTTTGTACTGAAGAGTTGCGAATTTCGAGCCGGAGATTCATATGCTGCACTACACTTGCGTACTTTGTATGCTACACGTGTACTGAAAAGTTGCAGCTTTCGGGCTGGAGCTGCCAAAGTGTACTTCGTGTACTGAAAGTCGCGACTTTCGAGGCAGAGCTGCCAAAGCACTGTAACACGATGTAGGGGAAGAATTGATACTAATCGATGCCAGAGTAAAAGGTCAAAGGGGTTGTCTACAGGGCGTTTTCCCAGCCCAGCTGTTTGAGCCTGGTCATTAAACGTTGTCAGCAGCGCCATTCTCACCTTTCACTACTGGAGACGTGCATGAAAACCCCAAGCTGACCATGAGATTCGCGCGTCTGAGTTCTGTCAGGAAAACACATCTCAACGCAGAAGGCGGCCCAAACGACAATTGGCTAAACGGTAGCCAACAAAGGCGGTGTTGGCCCACGTTGCGTTTGCAAGCACGAGCGCGCACCCATTTTCCTGTGAGTGTTTGCTCTTTGCGCTTGTGTTCAGAGTGCGGACCTCATCATTTGGGCATCATGTGAGAGCTTGTGGACGTACAGCGGGGATGTAATCGTTTCGGCCATGGAGCTTGCGAGTCTAAGATGCGGCCGAACTGGGACAGCATGCAGATGCATAATATGGGGGCTTCCCCAGTGAACCAGGGTGCGTGTTGGGTTTCCATGTCATGGATACTAGACGTGAGCAAACCAGCTATGGAAGAGTTGGAAGCTATTTGTTTGGTGACATGAACTCTCAAATCTCTGGATATTCTAAATCTGGTCGCGCCTTGGGGGAGTGACAAGACCATTGAGGTCCTTCATCTAAAACATGCTGGTCACTTGCCAACATGGCAAGTGGATAGTGGTTAACTATTGTGAACCAACGTGACAGGACCCGCTTGCGGATTTGCATGTCCGCTCCATTTCTGAGAGACGCCGCTGATTGCTTCTTGTGTTTACGTAAGTCTGGTCTAGAAATACCAGGTTCAGAAAGCGGGGAGATGACCGTCGGGAAGCACTACGCAACTATAATTCGTTCTTGCTGAAGTGATTGGCGCAGGATCTCGGTCAATTTCGCTGGGCGACACGTGTCACGCTTACTGGTCAGAGAGTCAGTGAGCTCTGAAGGTGGTTGGCGAAGGCCGCAGCAAATGATAAGGTTCTCAGTGCCATTGTTGAAGCTGTTTGATGGTGACCTCAGATCTATGTACTTTTTCTGGTTTGTGGTTTGCGCGTAATCCGAATGTTGCCCAATGTGACTCATCCCCCACACATATCCATCGCAAATGCGCAAAAGAGTGCAGTGTATTCATGACGAAGGACACTGGATTCAGATTATTGTACCAGCTGGTAAGAATGTTCCAATCAATGTTCTGAATCATTGTGTAGCACGTTATCGGGCATTGCATCATCGCCGCGGTTGCCGCATCCTGCCACTCCGCCAAGGCTTCACTGGAATGTGACCTCCTGGAGACTGATGAGGCGCCCCGGTTGCATCAGTTTCAACAAGTCCTGGACCCCCCTACGTGGCCCACCAGATTCATGTTGGACGGCCCTCTTGCGCGTGCCGCGTCCGCAGTGGTTAGCATCTCAGGACCCCTCGGCGTGCCCTTGCGTTCCACCATGTTTGATGGCTGATGGCCCCATTGTTTCGCTGTCATTGGCAATCGGCAGCGATTCAGCAGGGCTGACATGCAGATGAAATAGTTGTCACGAGCAGTGAGGTCGCACAGCTCAAGACAAGGATGCATGACATGTGTTGTTTAAGGCACACTTATGAGCCCTTTCGTGACTTTACTCTACCTTCGACTCAGGGAACCAGTATCATCCCCCCCACACCTGCAAGAGATTGAAGTCCTGGACACAAAGGCCGCACCAAACGATCCGAAGGAAAAAGCTTGGGCTCTAGAGCACAAAACCGAGGAGCAGAGCTCATTCAAAGGCCAGTGACACAAATATTGATTCCATGTCACTGAGCAAGGGCTTACAGATTCCTGAAAAAGACAGGCTCCATGTCTCTCTTGCTCCGGCTCAGATTTGCAACTGCACCAACAATGAGGTGGCAAACTCTGGCAAATACAAGCAAATCACGGCAAGTTGTGGCAATCACAAGGTCGCAAGTAGAGGAACTCCGGAGTCGGTAAGTTTCCCGTAGCCCGCCTCATTTCGCAGGTCATTGACCTGGCAGTGCTTCAAGTGAAGGCCGGTTCGTACGGCGTGCGCGCGGCCATAGCAAAGGTCCTTAGGTTGTCCCGATTCCTGAATTTGGCACCATTTGCTTTTTTAGTTTGGGCCACTCATGACAGCACCATTGCGTTCTTTTCAGTTTGGTGGACCTCATTTGTGCCATTGGTGGAAAGTATGGCTCTAAACGTTTTTGGACAAACCTCACAAGTCAGAGGAATAGCAGAGGAGTGTTTCCGCTATCCCTTGCTTGGGCTATTGGGGTTGTTTTGCGGGCATTAGCACTTATTGAAGCAGCTGCTGATTTGTTACAGCATTAGCAACATTCGCATTGTTGATTCATAGGGCAGTTGGGCTCTCGGGGCTGGTTTAGATCATTGGGTGGGTTGACATTGGCTGGTTTTGGGCTTGGCTAGTGGCTGATGTGTGTGTGTGTGTGTGCGTGTGTCTGTGTTTGCCAGGTTTGGGGAGCTGCGGTGCCTTGAAGCAGTATGTGGTTGAGTGAGTTTGGCCGAGTTACGATGTTCTCTTGGGTATGTGACGGTATGTGTCAAAATAGGTGGACCCCAACACGGTGGAATCGTGTTGACCCTTCAAACCAATGTAAGAAGCGCAATCTCAAGCCACTGGTCCAAACCACATCTTTGAGAAACGAACTTCCCGAAAAGTCGGTCGCCGTTTACGTTGAGCCCGAGTTCTTGCTTCGCAGCTTCTATGGCCCGGGGCCCTTTTTCGAGATCCCATGGCAAGGCTAGGTTTGGCCAAGGAGATCGCAGATGTGAAGGCGGCTCTGGAGGCAGATGGGTCGTATCTCGGCATGTCGGACGTCCAGTTGAGGAGATATGCGGAGCAGCTGGCGGAAAAGGAGAAGCTTCTCGCGCAGCTGGCGCAAGTCCAGGACCTGAGACCAGCTCCGCCCGGGCCAGCCGCTACCTTTGATCGCACAAGCCTCCCCAGCGTGCTGCAGCATATGTTGCTCAGTCTAAAAGCAATGAGGTTCACGCATTTATTTTGCTTGACGTTTTGGAGGTTGGAGAGATTTATGGCATATCCCGCTAGTTTAAGTTTGAGGGGAGCAACGAACCAAGGTTAGAGTATGAAGCGGTGCCGTATGAAAGTACCAAAGCCTTGCGGGCCTTGGGTTCCTTAGCCTACAAAGATGCCGGGGAAGTGGCAGACAGCCACAAAACCATGGCGCAGCTGCTGCGATTGCTACAGCTGCACCCTTGCGAGAATGCCTTGCAGCTCGCGGCCATGAAAACCCTTTGCCACCTCGCCTTTTCCAAAGAGATCGCACGCCAGACTCTGTCTCATGACTTCATCGACGTGCTGATGGCAGCACGCCTTGCGCCGGAGGGGTCATTGACAGCCGAGGTCCGCATGTCGGCCGACGAAGCCACGGCTCGAATCATTGCGGCGGAAGCGACCCCTGGCACCGCCAAACGTTCCCCCTCTACAGCTTTGATGCATATTTTCCGCACAGAAGCAGAGGCACGGGCAAGAGCGGCCACAAGACTTCAGTCGATGCTGCGGCTGTTGGATGAAGAGCTCGTTGATGTCGACTACTTGTCTGAGTGCTTTATTGCTTCGGCGCCTTCTGAGAGCGCGAGCACAGCTCAGGCAGCCGCAGCCGGATGGCTGTGTTTGATGGTAGATATGGCCAGTCAGCTGACGCTGAGCCCAGGGCTGCGCACAGCCGCCGTGTTGATGGGAACGCACTGCAGGAGCTTGCAAGTGCAGATGCAAGGGGTGGAGGTGATGGTGACCTTTGCAGCTGGCAGGCGTGGCCCAGAAATGGTTGCTGAAGCCGGTGGAGTCAAGCAAGTTGAGCTGGCCTTAGCCTTGGAGGAAGATGCAGCTTTGCAGACAAGCTGCCTGAGCTTCTTGGTGGATGTGCTGGACTGGCCGCTGGCCGTGCAGAAGCAGTGTGAGGTGGACTATGCCCGGGTGGTCGCAATGACAAAGGACGCAATGCGACGACACCTGGATGTCGTATCCTTCCAGGTGGCGGCCTTGTCAGGGCTGGCCAAGATCGTGGAAGTCCTGGCCTGCTCGGCAGAGGTGAAGGCAGGGGGCTCGGAAGGGCTGATCAAAGCGGTCTTGGCCCGGCACTGGGGGAACCAGCAGGTTTGGACTTGGGGCCGCATCTTGCTGGACACCCTTGGCCTTGATCGGCACTGGGCAGGGCGAGAGTAAAAATGAGCCAGCGAGCCTGGAATCCAAGCGCTTCACACCCTGGAACCCTATCCTGCAACCCTTCCATAGAACCCCCACCTTCTGAAACCTTCTGCAACCGCTCGGAACCCCCGACAACCGAAGACCCGGAAGCTTTGCCTCACTCTGGGCAAAGACCCCATGGCTTCAGCTACAGTAACCGTGCAAAGGGAGTTGCTTGGTGTGTGTGTATGTGCGCATCTTTGCTTGCTTGCTTATTTGCTTGCTTATTTGCTTGCTTATTTGCTTGCTTATTTGCTTGTTTGCTTGCTTGTTTGCTTGCTTGTTTGTTTGCTTGTGTGTGTGTGTGTGTGTTTGTGTGCGTGTCCAGTCGTGCCTCTTGATGCCCAGCACACCGAGTCGAGAGTGTATTTGTGTTGGGTGCTTGGTGGCAAAAAGAAGCGCGCATATATCTCTTCCGGTCGATGTGGGAGGTTGTGTCAAAGAGCCGTAGTACTTTAGTAGTTCCTTATAGCAGTCCCTTGTGGCCTTCTGTAGCAGTCCCTTATATCGGACTATTTTAGAATTCCTGTATACCAGTCCCTAGTAGCGGTCCCTGGTGGCAGTCCCTGATAAAAGTCCCTTTAGCAGTCTCTCAGAATGGTTTCTTATGGTATACGGCAGTCCCTCACAGCGCTCCCTTATGGGTTTGTGTGATTATGCCACGAATTATTGCATCTATCAGCTCATTTCTTAAGCTGGTTCTTTTGCTGGAGCCTCCTCCATAGTTAGGATGCACAAAATTGCGGACGCTGCTGGCATTTTGGCGTGCCTGCAAGTGTGCGCGACATCGTTGCTTTGATTAAAGCCACAGTGCTTGTGTTGTCTGACGGTACCTTGGAGGTTGCCTGTGGTCGGATGGGTCGAACAAGTAAATCTGGGGGCAAACGATTCCCAAGGAACACTCTCACGGAAGGCCACTTAAATGAAGTGTTGAAGCGATGGACAACGCTGTGCTCATGCCAGGGCAGTCGGTTACCGGCAATCTGTCTTGATCTTTCTTGGCAAGTTCATCAAGGACCACTTTCTCTTGAGTGATTGTATAGCTTTTGAAGCAACGAACATTGGTGAGCGCCAGCAAATGGTGAGGTAAAAACAAGTCACCTCAACACGGTAGCTCATTCAAAAGTCGAACTGAAGGCAGGCCGGCATGGCCCCAAAACCACCCTCCACCCAAAAATCATCTTTTGCTCATATTCCCATTTGTTGGACAGACATGATGAACTAACCAGGGGGACTTGGTTGCAAATGAGACCTTTTTTCGTGTGAGGACAGGTCCAAGCTGCCTCTGCCATCCATGGCAATGGGCCACAGCGAGTCGGTGAAGACTGGGGACTGGGCCATTGTCCTAGGCAGGGACTCCGAGTCGGCCGCCAGCCAACCGGCCTCAGAGGATTTGAGATGAAGGGGGGGGGGCCGGGTAAGTGGGTGATGCCATGGCGCGTAGCTGCAAAACGGCAACATGGAAGGTGGAGTGTGCCATCTGGTAATATGGGCATGCGTCTTCGATGCGAGTTTGGCTTGCTAGTGTTGTACAGATTGATAAGCGTGCCCTTGATGTCGCTGTATTGACTGCCTCGAACTTGCGGTTGCCCATCAAAAGATGCAAGCAACAAAGCATCTGTATAGGTGCCATTTGGTCACTCGGACTTCGAACGGAACAGACAGACATTTATGTACAGGTGGTTGGCACCCGAACCAAACGTCTTTCCCGCAACGGGGGGAAGAGTGCGGTGATCAAATGAACGAATCTGGCGTCTCATACAGTTGCGCATGCACGCACGTACCATGCTTTACTCAGCCTCAAAAGTCAGCGGGGCCAGAACAACAACACACAAACGCACAACACAAGCGAATAGAAGACACGAGTGAGCCAGATGTTCCTTGGAGACATGCACAACATCAATTTTGTCAATGAAGCGAAAGTGGTGACGAGATACTTGGAGAGGCTGAAGCAGGCGCTGAGTACGGCTTGCTATTAAATGGTGTTTGGCGGCCAAAGTGGGCGTAAAAACACGGGAATCTCCAAAGCGTGATTTTCAATTTGTCCTTTTGGTTTCCATTCAAACCGACCTGAAGAGGGTACCTGCAAGAACAACCCAAGTTCCAATCTGTGGAACTGCAATAGCGCATGTTTCAGCACCGAGGGAGCCTGTGTCCAATTCTGTGCGGCTCATTCGGAGCATTTGGACGTGAGCTGGCGCATTTGGTTGTCTTGGTTAATACTGGTGGATAGATGTGGATAGCTGCAATGTGTGATGAAGCCAAAGTGCAGTCTGCAGGGTGTGTGAATCACTGGGTGCAAACATGGCGGTGCGCGAGCGACGCAAGGACCTGTGTGAGCATGTGCACGGCTGGGTGGTTGTTTTTCTAGGCGTAGGTGACTGTTCAGCTTCAGAAGGAAGGCAGCACCCGCCTCTGATCACAGTGTCCAAGGAGTTCTGCAATTCAAGCTTCCTTGATCCGCAACAGTTGGAACCTCTTTCTGCACCATGCCGGAAAAAGAAATCAGACACGTGCCACGTACCGATTTTAGTTGTTGGTTGGTTCAAGCGCTTCCAGCCAAACCTTGACAGCTAACCATTGCAATCAATGCCACCCTAAGACAACCCGAAGCCGGCTGGTGCGTGCTTAGAGGCTTTGACCATTGCCCGGCAGGCAACCCTTTAGGCCTGCAGAACACGTCGGGAGCCTAAGAATGGCATGCGGACTTTGGGAGAGGTCGACAATTGGGTCTCAAGTGTGTAGACAAGTGACTGGACCAAGAACCCAGGATTGAAAGAGCATGAGTTTGGTGGCTCCCCTTCCAGCACTTTGTGATGAATGCATTGAGCACCACTGCTGCTTTTGGCCTATGCTCTGAAAGGACTGCGCATGGGATTTGAACATTTGCAAGCCGGTTTGCATCCGTTCAATTGAAAGGCGTATCGGAAACCAATAGCTCCGGGCATGATGCACAGAACACATTCAGCAATGCTTAGCTCCAAAGTTACACCTGCCTGTCGACTCAGTGGTTTCACGACGGAATTTGGTTGACTGAGTAGAAAGCGGCCGCTTTGCTCCCCATACGGGGGCCGTCGATTGAATTCATTTGCTTCCCCGCCACACCACGCATACTGCAAGTTCTCAGATAGTTCTTTCTCCGTGAGACAAATCGCATGAATCTACATTGGGGGAAGGGCCCCCAAAGTTGTCCCCCCAAATGCATGAATATCCAATTTAACATCCATCTGCAAAACCGAGTGAATACTGGCCATGTCATGACTCCAGAAGACAGTCACTTGTGAGACTGCGTCGTAGAGCTGAGATAAGCTGTGTTTGAACATGAGCACTTCCGGGTTCTGAGTCAATCTCACCGTTGTATCATAGAACATTGAACTAATAGGGGTCCACAGTCCTGCGCTTCCGACAGGACATTGACCGTGGCAACGGCTGCTTGTTCACGAGACGTAGATTCTGGTTTCTTTGAGCGTAAGGATGTTTAAAGAGTTTGAGCTCACAGCTAATCCGCCAACTCACATGGAACTCGGGAACCACAGGGCCCGTCAAAGGCCCACCTCGCTCCCCCGCCCCCCCTCCCCCCACCCCAAGAAAAATGAAGCTTATAAGAACCCTTCTTGGGGAGGGGGCCTAGGTCTTCCCCATAAACTCTTTTGCAGGCCCGGTCATCTTCGCCCTTGAGGTGCACTCTGGGCATCGTCTCCTCTTTGGAGCGGTCCACAGGGGAGACAGGCCGCTCATTTCAGAGATGCCTTGGGTATTGGCTATGCAACTTTCATTTGCAGGGCATTTGCACATTGCTCAAAACACTTTAATTAGGGACCTCTCGGCACCGTTTAGGAGACTCATGTCCAATCATCTAAATTTGATTTGGGAGAACAGTCCCCCTTAAAACTCATGGCCTTTTCAAGGCCACTTGCAATGTCTGAGGTGTGAGCTTGCAGTGAGAATGGGTTACATGATTTAGAGCACGGCGTCCTTTCACAAAAGGGTTATCTCTGATGGGTTATCAAGTTTGTTTCCTCTCGTTTTCCCTTCAGCCTCTGCAAACTGTGCGGCAACCAACCTCGCAATGCAACCCAGCTGTTCAGTGGCCCCTTTTTGAGCTGGGGCACGAAAAAAGTCCCCAGGCTTCGACTGGATGAGGCACCCTCTTCTCCAGACCGATGCCGCGGTGAACCAAGGGACACCCGGGGAGCGAGACGCGAGCTGTGGCTCGGTCTAAGAGGAAGCCCCGGTTTGGACGTCGCAAAGAAGCACAACAACACGACAAGCCCAGGTAGCCGCAACCCCCGGAATCTTCTGGAAGTTCCGGAACGGGTCCGAAGCTGAGCCAATGAAGCCCCTAACCTTTTGGAACCTTCCGGATTCCTGGACCCTATGTAGCAACCGCTCCAGTCGGAACCCTATCCAGCCATCCCTTCATGGAACCCCCGAAGCCTTGCAGAACCCTCTGAAATATTCTGAAATCCTGCTGAGCAATGCCCTCCGGAACCCGAGTCCCCATACCTTTCACCTGGATGCGCCCATGGGGTTGGAAACTACCCAAATGACACAGTGGAGATTTGGGATGTGAGTTGAAGCACAACACATCGGAAGTTGGTCTGCCCCTAGCGACTGCAAGATTTACCCACAGGAATCTAGCCACCAAGCAGGAAGAACTCCGTTCGTCACACATAATGGACTCCCCCTGTCTGGAAAGGCCAGAGTGGTACCCATAAGTTGATGAAAAAGACCTCAGATCGCCACCATTCTTCACTGGGCATGCCTAAAATAGGGACTTGGAATGGCTTCTAGTCTTGCACGTCATGTTTGGAAGCCTTTTTTTCTGGTCCTAGTCCTGGATGGGAACGTCTTGAGCCACCTATGGCGAGCTCACCCGGGGCCAAATCCAGTTCAACATGATGGTCCTCCTTGAATTGGAGATCCAGTATTCCAGGTGTTCCAATCAGGGTGGAATTCGCAGATCAAGTGTGGCAAGCTAAACGAAGATGGCTCTTTGCTGACCAAATGTGACGGATTACGCTGTTTGATCAGACTGCTCCTGATGAAGCTGTGCAGCAAAGGTCCCAAACATTGCACCCGCTCATGGTTTTCAGTGGGGGTTACCCCAATCGGAAACTGTCCGAGCTCAAACTAGCAAACCGCCTAAATTTGAAAGGATGGGCGGGGTTTGGTTGAGTGTTCATCCTACACCAGGCACCACTGCTGAGACCAGAGGAATGATGAAAGCACTAGATCAGTTGTGAGGGTTGGTTTGGTGCAGCCATGCTGAAGAAGCAGAGACTATGGTGGGGATTGCAACCAGTTGGTGACAGAGTTGTTGAGCAAACCATGCCAGCATGATGTTGCATATGCGCAATGATACCGGAAGGGACTCTCTAGATACTCGTTGCAGGGTTCACCGTTTCGCTTTCAAGTTGCAAAGATGATTGAACCGTGACAAGCGAGAGGAATAGTGGTGGCCCGATGCTCAACGAGATTGGAGAGGCGAAAGCGTGTTCTGGGAGTGATTGCGTGTGTGCGTGTGTGCGTGTGTGCGTGTGTGCGTGTGTGCGTGTGTGCGTGTGTGCGTGTGTGCGTGTGTGCGTGTGTGGGTGTGTGTGTGTGTGCGTGCGTGCGTGCGTGCGTGCGTGCGTGCGTGCGTGCGTGCGTGCGCGTCTGCGTCTGCGTCTGCGTCTGCGTCTGCGTCTGCGTCTGC